CCCCACACCCACCCCCTCCCTGCACAGTTCCATCCATCCATCCCTCTACACCCACCACCACCCTACACAGAACCATCCATCCATCCACCCCTCTACACCCACCACCACCCTACACAGAACCATCCATCCATCCATCCCTCTATACCCACCACCACCCTGCACAGAACCATCCATCCACCTCTCTACACTCACCACCACCCTGCACAGAACCATCCATCCATCCACCCCTCTACACCCACCACCACCCTGCACAGAACCATCCATCCATCCATACCTCTATACTCACCACCACCCTGCACAGAACCATCCATCCACCCCTCTACACCCACCACCACCCTACACAGAACCATCCACCCCTCTACACCCACCACCACTCTGCACAGTACCATCCATCCACCCCTCTACGCCCACCACCACCCTGCACAGAACCACCCACCCCCCTACTCCCATCACCACGCTGTTGTGGTGACACTCAGGTTCAGAGCAGCTCTCGACCTTCGTGTAAATTAAAGACTTTCTCCCCACTCTAAAGCAAAGGAAACACAACAGAAATCTGTGCTGTGTAAGGCAAAGGTGAAAACTAGTCATGAATTTCTGAGGAGGCAGAGCCTCTGCCAGAGAAAACTAACTCCATGGCTAAGAAGGTCTTTAGAGCCCCGAGAATCCTCCATTAGCTCTTAACGGGCTCCTGAGGACCACCTCTTCTGACGGGTGACCTATTTGCAACCAACTCCCTTTGCCCTTCAAGCTGGCAATCGTATTCAGGATGAAAATTTTTCTATCACCTCCCATTTACCTGACTATGCAAGAAGCGAATTAAAAAAAAAAAAAAAAATAGAGAGAAACCTGAAAACGGTGAAGGAGCGATGTCCCCCATTGCGAGGGAGCAGACGGGAAAAGCAGGTTGACTGCTGAAGGGCTGCCAGTGACCTTACAAAGGACATTTCTGTAACACAGCACTGCAAACCACATTTCAAGAGGGAATACAAACTTAGCCAAGGTCCTCTTTCAGTGAAGCAGCATCTCAAAGCAGAAGATAAAACCTACTGCACAACCCTAGTACTAAAGTCTCAGTAATTTAAGCCCAACTGATGTGGGAGAATCATAGGATGGTTT